AGACAGGCAGCGTCTTCATAACATCAACAAAAAAATACCGACAACAAAATCGAAATTTATAAATCAAATCGGTGAAACGAGTATAAGATACTAATACTTCTAATTATTTCTGTAGAGACTCTTTAAATGAAAACGAGAATAGATCTGGCAATATGAAACGGTAAGTATGTTTATAGATTGCATTCTTAATGTAAATCTTTTGTAAATCCAAGAAAACAATGTCATGTTCCTGTATAAGAACAAGGTCAACACAACAAAACCAGCGGACATCAGTTGTACATGTTCCACAAGGCGGTAAGATTTCCCAATGACATCATGATGATGACAAGTCACAAATATAAAATCTGATCACATAGATGTTTGATCCTCATAAGTCAAGTCACGCAGACTGCATCTTTATATCACAATCATATAATCAAGTCACACAGAAATCTGTTTCCTTTAAAACATCATAATATTGGTTAAATACTAGATTTACACCACTTATATAATCACAGTTCTGTACTTAGTCGTGTCATATAGTAATTCTGTTTCACTTAAATATTCATGTATTCAGTCAATCTTCGTAATATCTGGGTTCCATATCCTTGTCACCTAGAATTTTAATTTACTCTGATATATATACCAAGACAATGTCTTGAAATATCAGAGTTCTCTACTCTTGTCATATGAAAATTTGACCCTATATGTATGTCTTTGTAATATTAAAAATCTATGACTTTTCATATGTGTATTTGATTCACTTGAGTTACCAAGGCAATATCTTCACCAAATCAGGATCACATGCGTATAAAACAGTTCCGTACACAAAGACTCCCACAGCTCGTGTCTCCACACAATGATATATATCTGGATGTATGCTGGCTACCTTTCTCACTCTGGAGGTGTCTACATACATATGTAGTCTTATCCAGTGTTATATCTTATATATTTTATGTACGTGCCACCTTGAATAGATATTGATAGGTGGGCGTTGTTTAATCGAGTCGATTCTCTGGTGACATGTTGAGTGGTATATACTCCCAGTATGTATAGCTGCACCAGAATCAGGTCATGTTTCACATTTTCATATTGATAATGACGAGTACAGGTAAATCACACTTCACATAAACAGAACTAATTACAGGTAAACAGTAAGCATCAGTCACTAAGTACATCACTTGTTTGATCAGTGACACACCACATGTTTAACACAAGAAATCACTTTATTTTACTTCTGTAAAGGAACAAAGTCCTTTCCCCTGCATCCTCAACCAGTCCAGTGAACATTTACTGATGTCAGAAACCATACAGAGATTTACTGATGTCAGAAACCATACAGAGATTTACTATTGTCAGAATCCATACAGAGATTTACTGATGTCAGAAACCATACAGAGATTTACTGAGGTCAGAAACCATACAGAGATTTACTGATGTCAGAAACCATACAGAGATTTACTGAGGTCAGAATCCATACAGAGATTTACTGATGTCAGAAACCATACAGAGATTTACTGATGTCAGAAACCATACAGAGATTTACTGATGTCAGAATCCATACAGAGATTTACTGATGTCAGAATCCATACAGAGATTTACTGATGTCAGAAACCATACAGAGATTTACTGATGTCAGAAACCATACAGAAATTTACTGATGTCAGAAACCATACAGAGATTTACTGATGTCAGAATCCATACAGAGATTTAATGTGATCAGAAACCATACAGAGATTTACTGATGTCAGAAACCATACAGAGATTTACTGATGTCTGAAACCATACATGCTAATCAAGCTTTAGACAGGTTCTGGAATAGAAGTTCTACCTTTGTATCTGTCAACATTCCTTGTGGAAGTGATTTCTCATTTCACAATAACCAATTAAAATAATCAATAAAATGAAGTCCAATGAAGTATTTTTCTGATCTGTTACACCACTTAGCTCATCACCATCAATTTTCAATCACTCAATGCCTAGTTCTGACTTTAAATTGACACATGTAGAGTAGAACTGAACCAAACACAGCAGTGCCATTTTCAACACCAGTATTGCATCTTGCTGTTGATCAGAGTGTTCGTCCTATTATTCTTGACATCCTGTGTGGGGAACTTTCACACTATACAGTCAATTTAGTTTTATCATTCTCACCAGAAAAATATTGCACTTGGCTTTTGATCAATATGTTTACGTAGCTGTTTTAACAATAGTGTATTATTTTAATGACTTCTATAATCAGATGGGAATTTAACAGCAAATTTTGTTATAAACAGTGTCATTAAGCGAGTGGAATTTCCATTTTTTGGCCGTTAATTTAAGCTAACAATATCACAGGTAAAGCAATATGATTGTTACAGTATTTATATGACAAACACAGTATCGTTACTTCAGGTTAAGATGCTTTCTACAGTAATCAGGGTAATATAAGTGTAAGTTTTGTAAAGATTGTACAAAAGAAACACAATTAAATAGCACCTTTTCATATTTTTTAGATCATTCTCAACAGCCCATCAACACATGAAAGGCCATTAGGGCCATCAACCAGTAAAACACACAGCGATCCAAAAGGAAATAACATCAAACAAACTAAAAGGTAAAAGACAGATATATTAGAAAAAATTAAAATGGTTACATTATCACAAAAGATTAAAAACTGGAAGTCATAGTCTATAATACAGGCCAACATCCTTCAGGTAACCTAGAATTTTATTAATCAGAATAGTTTCAAAAAGGATCTTTAGACATGTAATGTTACGATAAAAAAGTTCTGGAGTAGACAGAAGGTCAATGCAGTTCAATAAAAAATATCTAATGGTGAATGGCTCATCACATCCTATGCACCGAGGGTTATCTTTGCCTTTTAACATATATAAATGTGTAAGGTATGACCTATCCGAAGACGGGCAAGGACAACTTGGTCTCGATAGTTGTCTCTATAGCATGGAGACCATTCACCGATGATGATAGGTTTTATGGAGTGCAATTTATTATCGGTATATTGATTCCATTCCTCCTGCCACTGAACTGTTAATGATTGTTTGATAAATTGTTTAAAATCAGTAAAATGAAGTTTAAAAACAACAGGTGGTAGTGATAAAGCTTCCTTTGCGGTACGATCTGCCTTTTTTTTGCCTGGTATTCCCATGTGCCCAGGAACCAAGCAAAAAGCAAAACGAAAATTAAAGGTAAGTTCATGGTATAGTATTAAGGTATTTTATGAATGAAAATATTTTCGATATTTCTATTGCTAAGACTCTGCAGTATAGAAAGAGAGTCTGAATGGATAACAGCTCTCATTACTTTGTTTCTTTGAATATATTCAAGGGTGAGGTAGATATCTCACACTTCTGCCAAGAATATTGAGGTGTTGTTCCATAGCCGGCATCCATAGGCTTCATCTCGTGAAACCATGGCCGTGGCAACCTTATCATTATCTTTTGAACCATCAGTATATAAATGTAGAAATGTTTTATATTTTAACTGCAATTTCCCGAAGGTTGAACGAAAGGTGCAACTGTCTGTGTCTGATTTAACCATTTCATGAAGTGAAAACTCAACTTCAGGTGAATTCAAGAGAAAGGGTGGAATTTCTTTCATTCCAAATGACTGAATTTGTCAAAATCAATATTTATGTTTCGTAAAAGAGTGGAAATCCGAATACCGAATGGTGGAATGGTCTTTAGTTTGTTTCGAGACAAGGTTTCATATTTTGGATTAAATATAAATGAAAAAGCAGGATTTGAAGAATTTGACTTTTGCTGAATGGTGTATTGCTCCTTTTAATAATGTAGTGTGAGATACAGTAGTCCCAAACATAATAATGTAGTGTGAGATACAGTAGTCCCAAACATAATAATGTAGTGTGAGATACAGTAGTCCCAAACATAATAATGTAGTGTGAGATACAGTAGTCCCAAACATAATAATGTAGTGTGAGATACAGTAGTCCCAAACATAATAATGTAGTGTGAGATACAGTAGTCCCAAACATAATAATGTAGTGTGAGATACAGAAGTCCCAAACATAATAATGTAGTGTGAGATACAGAAGTCCCAAACATAATAATGTAGTGTGAGATACAGTAGTCCCAAACATAATAATGTAGTGTGAGATACAGTAGTCCCAAACATAATAATGTAGTGTGAGATACAGAAGTCCCAAACATAATAATGTAGTGTGAGATACAGTAGTCCCAAACATAATAATGTAGTGTGAGATACAGAAGTCCCAAACATAATAATGTAGTGTGAGATACAGAAGTCCCAAACATAATAATGTAGTGTGAGATACAGAAGTCCCAAACATAATAATGTAGTGTGAGATACAGTAGTCCCAAACACAATAATGTAGTGTGAGATACAGTAGTCCCAAACATAATAATGTAGTGTGAGATACAGTAGAACCAAACACAATAATGTAGTGTGAGATACAGTAGAACCAAACATAATAATGTAGTGTGAGATACAGTAGTCCCAAACATAATAATGTAGTGTGAGATACAGTAGTCCCAAACATAATAATGTAGTGTGAGATACAGTAGAACCAATCAGTGAATTAAACTGCATCATAGAGCTATTTCATTCTTCTAGAACTCCTCAGTGATGCTAAGGGCCTAAATTTTGAATCCTAGGAGGCGACTAAGGAAAATCCGAAGTGCTCAAAAGAAAAGCCAAAGCCTATATGGGGAAGTGCACTAGCCCCATAACTCAATAGATTTTATAATTCTCATATATAAACATCAGAAAATTTCACAGTACTGTGACTCATAGATATGTATTAAACTATCTGTAAGATATAAGTAATTTGTGTAGCTTTTTTTTTCAATTGAATCAAAAAAATATTTTTTTTGGAGGGTGACACCTAAAGAAAATGAATGAAGCCATGATATTTTAGTCAGAAAAGTTTTCATTCAAATTACTACAATTTTTTGGTTTTAAAACTTTATAGAAGTTTTGAGATTCTAATGACTGTGATAACATATATACATCATCACAAATTACTGAAGAAGTGCTCTTACCTCTTAATTGGGCTGTAGTTAAATATTCTTTTGCTGCATAGAGTTTTTCTGGTACAACTTCAGGGGTTTCCATAGAGAGGTCCATAGCCGACACCTCTTTTAGAACAGGAACTGAATGCGGTTGTAATTCTAGAAAAATGATAACATATCGATAGATTTTTTTTTTATTTCATAAGGTCTAACAGTAAAAGAGTTCATTTTAGCCTGACTTTGAAGGATTGGCGTTTGGTATTCCATCCACTGGCTCACACAAATGATAAAGAAATTTATTCAAGTTGACTTTACTGTAAATTTCCTCTAGTTTTCTAAACAGAAAGTACCTATCAATTCATCTACTGAGTTATACAAGTTACAACTCACAAGATGTGTGTCACTAATATAACATTGAAATAGTATAACATTAATATTTGGTGGTTAAATACCTAACATAACTTGTGTTTCAAATCCAATGTGTTATTGATATGGCAGTCATACTCCTGTAAAATCACGCACTTTGTGGGACTTGAGGTTTATATGAGGTTTTGATTGGTTAAAGAGGGCTCAGAATATATCTTACACTAAACGTACTTATCAAAGTTTTACCAATTTTCATTAATCGCGGGGATATGAATGCATGGACGATAAATACCAACGATAACAATGAAAATAAAACCCACAAAAATTACTGATATTACATTTGTTGGTGTATTATTATAATTATTTTTACAGTCTTAACGGCCCGTCAACACATAAAAGGTCATCAGGGTCATCAACCGGTAAAACACACAGCGATCCAAAAGGAAATAACATTAAACAAACCAAAAGGTTAAAGACAAATGCTGAATATCTTAAATGGGTATGTTAATGTCAGTATAAAATAATCAAACACTACATACTTTTATCTAATATGGAAACATATTTCTTTGATGAATTGTCAGGGTGTACATCAGTTAACTGTTTGTCTTCCTCATCCAAACATTTTCTATCCTCTTCCTCATCCATGGCAGACTGTTTTTCATTCCCAGTATCAGTAACATTGGAATCTACATCACAATCCTCGTCACTATTGTCAGAGTTTGAGTGAACATCTTCATCAACAGTAAGCCTGTTACCACCAACATCCATTGTTCCAGATTCTGCCTTCACAGATTTATCTGTAAAAAGGGACAAACTTTACTTCACTTTGATAGGAGACAGATGAAAGGTTGTTGACATGTCTCCAATCGGGATTGAATTGAACTGAGGGATATTGTGACTCCAAATTCCCCCCTTCCAAACCCCCATCCCCACATAGTCAGATAAATATGTTTTATATATCAGAACTATCACAGGTAAGACTTTCTCATCCCAGGTACTGTTATAAATAGCGGTTAAACAATGATTGGTTGTTGAATGTTGAATTTCTTTCACACAAGTTAGTTTATTTTTCAGAAGTTAAAAAAATCCAGAGCTTCTGCCATGAAAAGTATCAAATAGGTAAGATTCAAGAAATAATCAACATTTAAAATCCTTCTAAGATCAACTGCTGGCCATGACAGAATATCAAAATGTCTTGTTCAACACTAATTCATGAAAATATAGAATTACATCAAAAAGAAATTTACAAATTGTAATTTCAACATGAAATATTTTTGCTGAGTCCAGTCATTTATTAGAGTTAATGAATGACTGTGTATCAAAGCCGTCGTCATATGTTGGGGTATTTACCTGTTTGTAAATCTTGATTGTGTTCAGATGTGTCCAACTCTTCTAGAATCTTTTCATTCTCTGATTCTAAAGTGGTGTCTTGATTATCGTCCATGTCATCTTCGTGCGAATCAACAGTCGGTAATCTGGAGTTCTGGACAAACATGACAGCATTCTGAGATGCGAAGTTGTCTTTCAGGAATGTCTCACATTTTCTCACTAGATGATTTACACTATACTGACGGGCCAACGGTAAAATGGAGGTAGCCACATCTACAGTCAACTCTATCCTGTCAGTGTACAGGTACCTGAAAGAAAAATATTGATGATCATGTAAAATATCGTCATAGAGAATGAACTAGGATCAATTTACATTAAATTATTTCTTCTCAAAAACTTGGAAATTTCAAAATAGTGAATAGACGGGACAGGCATTGTCCCATTTATCTAGCAATATATCTGAAAATGTATTGGCCCATACGTGTAACAGCCATTATTACAGTCTGTTCTGACATTATCCCTACATGTAACAGCCATTATTACAGTCTGTTCTGACATTATCCCTACGTGTAACAGCCATTATTACAGTCTGTTCTGACATTATCCCTACGTGTAACAGCCATTATTACAGTCTGTTCTGACATTATCCCTACGTGTAACAGCCATTATTACAGTCCATTCTGACATTATACCTACGTGTAACAGCCATTATTACAGTCTGTTCTGACATTATCCCTACGTGTAACAGCCATTATTACAGTCTGTTCTGACATTATCCCTACATGTAACAGCCATTATTTCAGAGCCTGTTCTGACATTATCCCTACATGTAACAGCCATTATTTCAGAGCCTGTTCTGACATTATCCCTACATGTAACAGCCATTATTACAGTCTGTTCTGACATTATCCCTACGTGTAACAGCCATTATTACAGTCTGTTCTGACATTATCCCTACGTGTAACAGCCATTATTACAGTCTGTTCTGACATTATCCCTACCTGTAACAGCCATTATTACAGTCTGTTCTGACATTATCCCTACGTGTAACAGCCATTATTACAGTCTGTTCTGACATTATCCCTACATGTAACAGCCATTATTACAGTCTGTTCTGACATTATCCCTACATGTAACAGCCATTATTACAGTCTGTTCTGACATTATCCCTACGTGTAACAGCCATTATTACAGTCTGTTCTGACATTATCCCTACGTGTAACAGCCATTATTTCAGAGTCTGTTCTGACATTATCCCTACATGTAACAGCCATTATTACAGTCTGTTCTGACATTATCCCTACATGTAACAGCCATTATTACAGTCTGTTCTGACATTATCCCTACATGTAACAGCCATTATTTCAGAGTCTGTTCTGACATTATCCCTACATGTAACAGCCATTATTACAGTCTGTTCTGACATTATCCCTACATGTAACAGCCATTATTACAGTCTGTTCTGACATTATCCCTACGTGTAACAGCCATTATTACAGTCTGTTCTGACATTATCCCTACGTGTAACAGCCATTATTACAGTCTGTTCTGACATTATCCCTACATGTAACAGCCATTATTTCAGAGTCTGTTCTGACATTATCCCTACATGTAACAGCCATTATTACAGTCTGTTCTGACATTATCCCTACATGTAACAGCCATTATTTCAGAGTCTGTTCTGACATTATCCCTACGTGTAACAGCCATTATTACAGTCTGTTCTGACATTATCCCTACATGTAACAGCCATTATTACAGTCTGTTCTGACATTATCCCTACATGTAACAGCCATTATGACATTATCCCTACATGTAACAGCCATTAACAGTTCTGACATTATCCCTACATGTAACAGCCATTATTACAGTCTGTTCTGACATTATCCCTACATGTAACAGCCATTATTACAGTCTGTTCTGACATTATACCTACGTGTAACAGCCATTATTTCAGAGTCTGTTCTGACATTATCCCTACATGTAACAGCCATTATTTCAGAGACTGTTCTGACATTATCCCTACATGTAACAGCCATTAACAGCCATTATTACGTGTAACAGCCTGTTCTGACATTATCCCTACATGTAACAGCCATTATTACAGTCTGTTCTGACATTATCCCTACATGTAACAGCCATTATTACAGTTCTGACATTATTCTGTAACACATTATTATCCCTACGTGTAACAGCCATTATTACAGTCTGTTCTGACATTATCCCTACATGTAACAGCCATTATTACAGTCTGTTCTGACATTATCCCTACGTGTAACAGCCATTATTACAGTCTGTTCTGACATTATTATCCCTACGTGTAACAGCCATTATTACAGTCTGTTCTGACATTATCCCTACAATGTAACAGCCATTATGCAAAAGAGAGTGATGCTTCTCAAGCCTTGCATTCCTCCTTGCTGTGATCTATCTACTTATGAGGTTTCATGTTGATAACTGAGGTTTCATGTTGATAACTGGTATAGTTTTAGTGCAATGCTCTTGAGAAAATTAAGTCTGAAAAAGTAAAAAGGACAGTTATTTGGTTTTGTTGATGTTTAAATCTAAATAAAATGAACAACTGATACAAAGGGAAGTAACCTGATAAACACTTTCACTATGTTTGCACGTCTTTTCAATTTTGTAGTAAAAGGAAATTGTTACCTGAAAATGCACATCCAAATATCCTTTCAGTTTAAAAATACTTTCAGATTGTGAATTTTTTTCAAAAGTATTAAAAAAAAAACTGCAATATTATGAAATCTATTCATTAACAATTTAAGAACAATAACTTGCAATTTTTCTCCTTATAAAGGATGGTGTTGAATAGTGATTTCACTACATACCTCACGAAAAGGGAGAATATATGTTGTTGTGTATCCAAAAGAGTTATCTCCCATTTACTAATTGTTGGGTCATCCAGCATAGAACAGAAGACAGAGCTCCGTGACACCAGTATTGTTTTGTGGGCCAGGATTTGTTCCTTGCCCCCATTGACCACGAAGGCAACATCACTAGCAGTACCAGATGACAACAGGTACTCCAAGCAATCCAGGAGGGATTTCTCACACTGCCAATCCCCACCAGGAAGCTGCAATGCAGTCATCTGAAAAGGAAAATATGGAAAATGATTACAGGTGTTCTAGATATCATACATCTTCCTCATTTCCAATTTACCACAAACCTCATCAAGCTTGAACCACTAACCTGTTCAGAAGCTTACAAAAATGATTTTGTCTGTTTTTAAAGTCATGGGAAGCCTATATATCTCAGCTTCCAAGCATGCCACTACACAAATACCATGACCTACATGTGTTATAGCAAACCTAACACTTATTTCAAAAAAAAAAAAAAAAATTCAAAAATTTGAAGTTCTTATTAGATAGGACCCCTGTGACCACAATAGTTAGTTGATGCTATTCATTTTAACAACTTGGTAACCCCTCATCCCTGCATGCTAAAGGTCCTATATAAGTATCCTAGCAGGGCTTATTGCTTAATGAGAAATGAATCAAATGCTTAGGACATTTCACCCTACGACATAAAAACTGACACACAGCAATCTAGGTTGTCTTCACCCCAGTACTCAATATGTCCAATATCAACACCCTAAGATTTCAACACATTTGACCCCTGTAACCCAGAAAATGAGTCATGATAAACCATTTGAATAAACATGGTTACACTTCAGTTCAAAATACAACATGCCCTATATTTTGATAATTGAGGAAAAGTTGTTGGAAGACTTTAATACAACTGGCACTTGTGACCTTGGAAGTTTGTCAAGGTTAAACAAATGTTTTTTTTTTTTGTGGAGGAGTTGGGGTGTGCCTGGTTTTTGGAGCCGACAGAAAAGATTCCTCCTTACATTAACAAATGAATTTCAACTTAAACTCAAATATAGAGTCCATATATACCTAGAAATATTGAACTATCTGATACATATCTAATATCCTACCTTGCACACAAACAAAATATTATATGACTTTGAAGTTATGTACTAAAATGATCTGGGAGTTTTGTTGAACTTTTTCTTGTATTTTCGAGGAAAATGCTGGTCAGTTGATGTTCAGTATGTAAGAAATAATTGTGATATCTTATATATATCTAAGTATACCGGTCTGAGTCTATGTCGACGGTGTGCCTAGATGAACGAGTCTATGATGACTAGTCTATGAGGATCAGAAGAATGACTATGTAATATATATGTATATATGTTTCTACCACGTACCACCATACAACCTGATTAGAAACTAACCCGTATTCACCTTAATTTGTTAATTCCGAAAATAAAACTATAAATGACCGTGATGGAATGTTATAGAAGATCATAGTACTTTTTAAGATTTATTTTTATAATCATAGGATGTCTATTGTAAGACGTCACAAATAACAATAAAAACCTTTTCCCGATTTTTAGTACCTTAGGGGTAAAAATTTGTTCAAATTTTGTCCTGAAGAAGCCCACTGTTCGGGCGAAACCGGTAAACGTTTCACACTAATAAAAAATCAACTTATACCAAACCTGTTGCGATTGACTTATATAATTAAAAGTTTCTCCTATTCGTCAATCGCCCTGCATACCGGGTGGTATCCGGGCAAGGGATATAAAGAACCAACAGAACCTCAATAACAATTTACGGCATTGGCTCTACCACTGGATTTATATATATCTATTTATAGCCCATTTTCATAATAATAATTAAAGTTGAACATGGAATATCATATTCTACTCTGTTATATCCGCCTTGAAACTGGTAAACATACATGTATGTGTTCAGTCTGGAGGGCTGATTATCCATCTGTCATATATCTAACCAGACATACACCGTAAGATGTATGGTGTTCCTTTTCAGAACCTGTTGAATATTCATTGGCAAAGATTTATGTCACGTGACTAGGTCCTATTGTCTCTATTTAATAATAGCAGTTAATACGTAGAACAGTATGACCATCAAACGTCCTCAAAATCATTATGAAAAAATAGAAATAAAACCATCCGTCATTTCATCGTTTTGTGTTCGATGTGTTTTTTCACAATATCAAACGTGGAGCCTGCAACAGGACGTAAAATATCTTTCAATTGCTGTCACGACCCAAGTCCCTGTGCACACTATCCCAACTAACTTCACGCAAGTATGTTGTACAATAGAACATGACAATATCATTTGTGACCTGATATCTCACCTTGAATGTGAAATTCAGTTTTACATCATGGTATCGTTGTTATTTGTTTCATTTTTAAAAAATATCACAAATCCACCTTATTCAGGTCAATGTGCAGGTGCACGCATACCGGATGTGACGAATATACAGATTAACAAGCAACGACATATGACAGAATGGTACGACAACAACTGTCAACAACATGATGTACATGGGGAGTAACTGGTAAAGCTGAACGGAATTCCAATTAAAACAATTACAAATTAAAGAAATATTTTAACACGTATCAGCTCGCAACAGAGTTTATTCAAACCCCGTGCACTACTGAGGAAAATGATATGAACTGCCAGTTTTAAATCTAAATTGATGATACATAAATAAAAGCATCGCTAAAATAAAACAATCTATGTATGTAATAACATGTACGGGTCAAATGTATACCATGGGGCACGGAATAACGTTGTAACGGTGTTGTAGGGAAATAATTGAAAGAGGTATGATTGTTTTTTTGTTTTTGTTTTTGTTTTTTTTTTGTAGGATGGGAAGAAGAAGAAGAGAAAGGTATGATAAAAACTAGAAATGGGGAATCAGGAATCACTCGTCAATAATTTGCACAGAAATATCTCGCGCGGTAATTAGAAGTATTTTCATAACTTTCCTTACTTCCGGTTTAGATGTTGTTTCTGAATAATCATTTTTGTCAACAGTCATTACAGGAAGTTGAAAAATCCAACTTTATCTGAATATTTATACCAGCTCATTTTTTTCATCCTGGCTTGGCCTATGCAGGACTTTGTAAGCTAATTTTATTTTTTTATATATATTCACAGGCGTTTGTGGAGGGTCATGATCAATGGCGGACAACTGCACAGGCGTTTGTCTGAGGCATACTCCCCCCCCCCCCCCCAAGTCCCCCCACCCCCCACCCCCCGCCCGCTCCCATATGTTAATGTCAGACGATCAGCTATTAATCAATTAATTAAAAGAAATTGCCTGATCTAATTAAAATATTAAGCATTCACAGAAATACAAGTTTTCCTCTGGATCACTAGTTTTCTCCCACAGACAAAACCATGTATGATTCCATCTGGGCCAACAACAATGATGTATAGCTTAGAGCTTGCTCGCACTTGTTGTGAAATGGAAAAATAAGTTTTTATTTATAGAAATATGAGTAACAAAAATATACATATGTTTGCTTATACAGTTTATTATACATTAGGACTTTTTTCTTAAAAACTGAGTTTATGTTTTTGTGTTTGATATGTCAATGTAGAAATTATAAAGAAGGATGGAAAAGGTTTGATCAAGCTAATGATGGAACCTGTTAAAAAGTGTAAAGTAAGATCAGTATTACATCCTAATGAATTATATACAAGAATACCTGACCTCCATACATGCATGTATATTTAAATTTGTATCACGGAGCAAATGTTTAAAATTGCTGAAGATATGTGCAACTGAAATCTATAAGTATGTTTATGTTTTTTCTATTCTACCTATATCAGGTAACTATTTGGTATGGACAAGTCTCTACCAGGAGAAAACTGGCAGTTTGATCGATCCTTGGTACAGAGCCTGGACTACCTCTTCTCAAAAGGGATCGCTAGTGATGTCATTTTCCTTATCGAGAACAAAAGGATTTATGCCCACAGAATGATTTTACTTAGCAGGAGTTCAGTGTTCTACTCCATGTTTATACAACATAACGCAGAATTATTGGAAGTTAGTGTACCAGATGTAACACTGGATACCTTCACTATCTTTCTCAGGTAAATCACCTGTTTTATCAAGTAAGATAACTAATGTAAGAATAATGAAAAATAATAGAAAATTAGTTATAATTATAAATTATTACACTGTAAAAATTGAACACAACTTTTGTGAATGCTAACAGAAAAAATAAATTTCCTAACAAAATTATAGATGACTGATTACTGACAATTAGTGATGAATACAGGATAACAAACAGGTATCAAATAAATATGATAAATGTACGATAAATCTGTTTGTTACAAAAATAAATAATAATGATAGCTGTAAATAAATAACATGAACTTTTAGTTAAAAATGTTAATATCAAGAACATTAATTACTGGGTAGTCGTTATAAATATCATTTTTGGTATAAAAATCTACATACAATAGAAGTCATTGATTGGTAACATATCTTATTTACTGAATTTAAATGACCACGGGCTAGATATCAGTTACTGCCATGAATTTTCTGCTAACATTAGCAAAACTTATGAATCATATACGTTAACAGTCATTGATATCCAAACAATGCTAATAGTTAAAAGCAGTTTAACTTTTATTAGATTCAAATAACATATGACGTCTGTCAGAAGTGAAAAATGTTTAAACATAAGTAAGACATGAAATTACACTAAAATCATATATATTCTTTTTTCTAAATTTTAGATTTATGATTGAATTAGTCACGTGACAACTTTGTCTGTTTGGCTATCCTTCTTCCATGCATGCATGACAGTCATTATACTTCATGTCTGAATAAACTTTTACACGGTCACATATTATTTGTTTCTTAGGCTTTTCTTAAACAAACCTTATGTGAAGATTTATTTCTTGAGATACAAAAATGTGGTCTGTTTTCTGATTTAAAAAAAAAAATTCTTACCTTTGTTATATGTCTGTAATTTGAAATGACCATGTATGGTATTATCTTTCTGAGATTTTCTGATATTTACTAGTTCTATGTTTCAGGTACCTGTATACAGACACTATATCACTGACAGCAGATCTTGCCACTTCTATGTTACATGTGGCTCGTCAGTACCGTGTGGGTGGACTGGAGAAGAAGTGTTCAACATTTCTTCAGAATTACAATCAACAAAAGATGTTTTTAGGGTATTCTTCAACACAAAATGACAAACCTGTCAAAGCTGATGAGGGTTAGTTTATTGTAATTTAACCCTGTCTGATTCCTGTCAGGTTCCCTGGTTAATGTAACTGGTTATAAAATCATTATCTATCTTTATCATGGAAATATTTTACTGTATTAGTGAAACCCACACCTGGTAATAAGCCCATCCATATTTATCCCCTTAATTTAAGTCAGGGTATATGAGTTTGTCACGCTTTTATTACTGTATATCAAAAATGTTTTGTATGCAATACTTTTAATTTGCATAAATTAAGTTATTTATTATTACAGAAGAAATACTGTAAAGTCCTATATACTTTTATGTCTATTATGAGTTTTTATTTTTTTTCAGAAAATAATGATGGTAAACATGAAGATTCAGAAGAAATCAGAAAGATACACACAACTATCAAAGTTTCAACTGTAGAAGAAACACCAAAGACACCTTCATTGTTTATCTGTGGCATATGTGGGAAAAATTACAAGTTTAGAAACAAATATGAATCCCACATGTCCACACATCCGTCCTACAATCCGCACCAGTGTAACCATTGTGGTAAGATCTTGTCCAGTAAAGGTCACCTGAAGAGACACATCAAGATCCACACAGAGGAAAAACAGCACAAATGTGATATCTGTGACAAACCTTTCTATGACCTTTATCGAATGAGGCGTCATCGCTGCATCCACTTTGGGGAAAAACCACACATGTGTGATATATGTGGAAAAAAGTTCAGTGAAGCTGGTAACTTACGGAAACATCATATGATTCATACAAACGAGAAACCATTCATTTGTGAAAAATGTGGGAAAGGTTATTCCATACAGTACGAATTAAAAGAACACCTGAAGGCACATGCTAGAGAGAAACCGTTTAAGTGTGACATATGTCGGAAAGGATTCGATGATAGGGAAGCTTTACTGAGTCATAGTGTGGAACACGTAGGAAAAAGATTGAACAAATGTGATATATGTGGGAAGTTTTACAGCAGGGAGTCTGCCCTAAAAGTTCATCGTAGGGTACACACCGGGGAAAAACCCTTTAAATGTGAAGTGTGTGGGAAAAGGTTCACAAACTCAGGAGATAAACAGCGACACTTAAAGATTCACTCAGGAGAAAAGCCACATGTCTGTGAGGTTTGTGGAAAAGGGTTTATAGACAAGAAATACCTCAGAGCTCATACTGTACGGGTACACAAATCATCACTGACACCCGTATCTGGTGTGTAGATAAGTCACTACTGACACCTGTATCTGGTGTGTAGATATGTCACTAATGACACCTGTATCTGGTGTGTAGATAAGTCACCACTGACACCTGTATCTGGTGTGTATATAAGTCACTACTGACACCTGTATCTGGTGTGTAGATACGTCACTACTGACACCTGTATCTGGTGTGTAGATATGTCACCACTAACACCTGTATCTGGTGTGTAGATACGTCACCACTGACACCTGTATCTGGTATGTAGATAAATCACTACTGACACCTGTATCTGGTGTGTAGATAAGTCACCACTGACACCTGTATCTGGTGTGTAGATATGTCACCACTGACACCTGTATCTGGTGTGTAGATACATCACCACTGACACCCATATCTGGTGTAGATATGTCACCACTGACACCTGTATCTGGTGTGTAGATAAGTCACCACTGACACCTGTATCTGGTGTGTATATAAGTCACCACTGACACCTGTATCTGGTGTGTAGATACGTCACAACTGACACCTGTATCTGGTGTAGATATGTCACCACTGACACCTGTATCTGGTGTGTAGATATGTCACCACCGACACCTGTATCTGGTGTGTAGATATGTCACCACTGACACCTGTATCTGGTGTGTAGATAAGTCACCACTGACACCTGTATCTGGTGTGTAGATAAGTCACCACTGACACCTGTATCTGGTGTGTAGATAAGTCACCACTGACACCTGTATCTGGTGTGTAGATATGTCACTAATGACACCCGTATCTGGTGTGTAGATAAGTCACTACTAACACCTGTATCTGGTGTAGATAAGTCACCACTGACACCTGTATCTGGTGTGTAGATATGTCACTAATGACACCTGTATCTGGTGTGTATATAAGTCACCACTGACACCTGTATCTGGTGTGTAGATAAGTCACCACTGACACCTATATCTGGTGTGTATATAAGTCACAACTGATACCCGTATCTGGTGTGTAGATATGTCACTACTGACACCTGTATCTGGTGTGTAGATATGTCACTACTGACACCTGTATCTGGTGTGTAGATAAGTCACCACTGACACCTGTATCTGGTGTAGATAAGTCACCACTGACACCTGTATCTGGTGTAGATAAGTCACCACTGACACCTGTATCTGGTGTAGATAAGTCACCACTGACACCCGTATCTGGTGTGTAGATAAGTCACCACTGACACCTGTATCTGGTGTAGATAAGTCACCACTGACACCTGTATCTGGTGTAGATAAGTCACCACTGACACCTGTATCTGGTGTAGATAAGTCACCACTGACACCTGTATCTGGTGTGTATATAAGTCACCACTGACACCTGTATCTGGTGTGTAGATAAGTCACCACTGACACCTGTATCTGGTGTGTATATAAGTCACCACTGACACCTGTATCTGGTGTGTAGATAAGTCACCACTGACACCTGTATCTGGTGTGTAGATAAGTCACCACTGACACCTGTATCTGGTGTGTAGATACGTCACCACTGACACCTGTATCTGGTGTGTATATAAGTCACCACTGACACCTGTATCTGGTGTGTAGATAAGTCACCACTGACACCTGTATCGGATGTATTTTGAACCAAATTATTGGAAGCTTCGGTATGCGAATTAGTTGAAGACTTTGAGGTTAAAACCAAAGGGTACATAAAATACAACACATGAAATCATGCATTTTGGTAAAACTTTGAGGAGTACCTCTACTTGTAACAGATGTTCATACTATTGACCAATGTCTTTAACAAGGACCTCTCTATATCCTTTATATTTGTTTGTATTTTGAAAAATGATTCCAGATACTGTCAAAATGATTATAAAAAAATATTGTAAAATAAAACATATTTGTGATTATTGCCGTTTCTCTACAGTTTATCTGTTTAGGAGGCGTGTTTTAATATTAAACTTTAATTTGAATGTTTTATTCATTCCACCAGATCACTGTTGCTGCCAATCATCTTTAATTACAGCAGTGACAGTCAGTCCAAGATCAGTATATATGACAGTTAAATGCTGGTCTGCATAAGATTTACAACATATGTGACTGCTTAGTCTGTGTTTTCATTCATGAGTATTCCAAAGTGTTCGGGAATTCAGAAGAATGTTATCTGAAATATGATGTATCATGAATATTGCGTTTTGGATTAAGGTATTTTTCATGTCATGAGTTTTAAGACATTATACGACTGATAAAGAGTCTTAGCACACGATTGCTGGTGCAATATACACTGTACTATCAATCATTTCTATTTCGTGTGCTCTCTATTTTCGCGTTAACACGCGAGGAGCGCCAATCAAATTCCTTGTGAAAATTCCTGCTATAATAACTATGGATGGCATTCGTGTTGGTTCTCTTACCGATATCAGAGACTTGAAGAATCCAAGTTTCATTCTCGAATTTAAAGTCATTTCAGTTCGCGAAACAATGCGGATGCAAATTTTGTCTGAGGGGTATAAGGTATTCACGAAAATCAAAGTGATTAAGAATAGCACAGAAACAATGGCATATGTCTGCTGAAAAGTGTGACGGAGTTCAAGTCAAGGACAAAAGTCTGTACAATATTTAAAGTTTATCTATAAAAAGTATATACATGTCCACATACATAAAGATGGCGAGTCACAAACATCAAAATAGTTTCCAATTATACGGGCCTTAATAGTTAATAATTACCATCACTTATGTGGACTTCACTCGGATATCCTCGCACTATCACACTCGTATATCCTCGCACTATATCACTCGTATATCCTATATCACTCGTATATCCTCGAACTATCTCACTCGTATATCCTCGCACTATCACACTCGTGTATCCTCGCACTATCACACTCGTATATCCTCGCACTATCACACTCGTATATCCTCGCACTATCACACTCGTATATCCTATATCACTCGTATATCCTCGCACTATCACACTCGTATATCCTCGCACTATCGCACTCGTATATCCTCGCACTATGTCACTCGGATATCCTCGCACTATGTCACCCGTATCAAACAAACAAAAGTGATAAATCTCGCACTATCACACTCGTATATCCTCGCACTATATCACTCGTATATCCTATATCACTCGTATATCCTCGAACTATCTCACTCGTATATCCTCGCACTATCGCACTCGTATATCCTCGCACTATGTCACTCGGATATCCTCGCACTATGTCACCCGTATCAAACAAACAAAAGTGATAAATCTAAACTAATCACACTAAATCTGTCTAAACTGACCCCGATGATCTTGACTGTCTCCCTCACTCCGTCAGCTCTTAACAGACAGATCGGGGTACTCGACGATGGACTGCCCTGCCAAATTTCTTTACAGATAAAAAAAATATGGTCAATTATCTTGAAACTTATTCATTTTCAACTATGTACACTCTTCAATCTCACAATAGAAAAACCATGAGGAAGGCGACAGAATGAAATGTAGTTGATAGAGCAGCATCTTGCTGTAGCTATTTTTGCGTCGATTGAGAAACCAGTGCAAGTTAAGTGTCGGGATTATAGGAATATCAGTTGGAGCTCTATTTCAAAAGTCGACGACTAGACCGTGAAGAATCTTTGAACTTTTAATTCAATTGTTGGAGTAGGTTAATGGTTTTGATACAGTAACAACAGATGTGTGGAGTCATATTGAAATCAGTAATGAAAATTGAACAGAAGGAAGTGAGCAGCACTTTTCTTACGAATTAAGAATGAATAAACTGCATCCTTCTCATCAGTGATGCCATGGGACTGAAATTTGAAACTTAGGATCGAGTGGGGAAAATCCTAAGTGATTGTAAGAAATGCCCAAATTATCGTAATCAACAAAGTTCAAGATTTTCATATATCTGATAATTTCAGAAGTATGTATAGGTATTTTGAACCGTGCCACTGTTCATGACATACAGAATTTTGTTTTTACTACTCCTGTTTAGCAAAATGTTTTCGTTTTGCCAATTTCGACTTTTGGGTTGTTAGATGTCGATGTTCAATCATCTGATCCGTTACTGTTAATCCACATTCTCATACTTACCAGTCATCCGGATTGATTTCCTCTTCGGTTTCTCGATCATTTTTAATCGTTTTCAACAATGGATATCTCGAATACACAAAATGTATATTTTGAGATTCTGGTCAAAATTTGAAAGAAAATTAATTCCAGTTACCATCAGTGAAGATGTCATATTCTTAATCTCTGGCAACAGCGGGCTCTTTGTGAGTTTAGAAAAGTTTTTTGTACATCCATTTTGACTACCGAAGTGATTTCCTAATTTCCTACATTTTTGACAGCGGAGTTGACTGATTTATCGAAAATGTCAGCGCTCTCTCGTTGATATGTGGAATTTTGCGTGAATTATCACCACGGATCACTGATTTCAAATTTCAGAATTCCTACTTGGTGAACGACACTCTCTCGCTGATTTTAAGGGGGAACATACTTCAGTTTGTTTCTTGATCTTGGGTGAAGATTGCAAAGGGAAAAAAAACAACAACAAACAAACAAATATTGAATTTAAATAAATTTTATTGCATAGATATTACACAAAAGGATTGGACGCAAGTTGTCACAACTTATTAATGTCCTCTCCATAATACAATTATACACATGCACAGCTAAGCAATGGTCTAAATTAATCGGTATATAAATGAAATTTTCAAATTTTAATTAAAGAAGAAAAAGGACAGTAAAGAAGAAAGGTACAAACAACAGAAAGACAAAGGGATGCTGATATAATGAATAAGAAAACAAAGGAGGTGCTAAGGGCTAGTCAAATGACACTGTCGACATGTAGAAATATAATGACCGGTAGTTGTACTTACACAAATCTTTTACTACCGACAATAAAATTTTACACGTGTTTACAAATGGGTTCATTTAATTTTACGTCTTAGGAATTATAACCATATATAAGGTTTCATATGTAAAATTACCACACCATATCAAACGTCTCAGCATTTTATTTCTTTCTACATTGTATAATGGACAATGAGATATA